ATGTATTGTTTCTTTGGTCTCTATGTCATTTATCTGTGCTCTGATTTTTGTTATTTCCTTCCTTCTGCTTACACTGGGCTTTTCTTGTTGCTCTTTTTCTAACTCTTTGAGTTGTAGAGTTAGATAACTTGTTACCATTTTTTCTTGTTTTTTTGCAATAGGCTTGTAGGGATATGAACTTCCCTATCAAAACTGCTTTTGCTGTGTGACATAGATTTTGTATTGTTGTGTTTTCATTGTCATTTGTTTCCAGGATGTTTTTAATTTCCTCCTTGATTTCTCTGGTAACCCAGTCCTTGTTTAATAGCATGCTGTTTAGTCTCCATGTGTTTGATTTCTTTGGATTATTTTTATTGTAGTTAATTTCCAGTTTTATGCCACTATGATCTGAGAAGACCCTTGATATGATTTCTATCTTCTTGAATTTGAAGAGACTTTGCCTATGTCCCAAAATGTAGTCTATCTTTGAGAATGTCCCATGTGCACTTGAGAAGAATATATATTCTATGGCTTTGGTGTGGAATGTTTTGAATATGTCGATTAATTCCATCTGTTTTAGTGAGTCATTTAGGATTGATATTTCTTTGCTGATTTTTTGTTTAGATGATTTGTCCAAGGGTGACGGTTGGATATTAAAATCACCTACTATGGTTGTATTGCTATTAATCTCTCCCTTAATGTCCTCCAGCAGTTTTTATTTTATTTTATTTTATTTTTATTTTTATTTTTTTATGTATTTGGGGCTCCCGTATTGGGTGCATTTATATTTACCAGGGTTATTTCTTCTTGTTGGATTGCTCCCTTTAGTATTATGAAGTGGCCTTCATTATCTCTTGTTATGTCCTTCACTCTGAGATCTAATTTGTCAGATATAAGTATTGGTACCCCTGCTTTTTTTTTCATTTCCATTCTCCTGGAAAACCTTTTTCCATCCCTTCACCCTCAGTCTGTGTGCGTCTTTTTTTTCTGAAGTTGGTTTCTTGTAGACAACAGATGTATGGGTCTTGTTTTCTTATCCAATCTGTTACCCTATGTCTTTTGATTGGAGTATTTAATCCATTTACATTTAAAGTTATTATTGATAGGTAATCATTTGATGCCATTTTTATTCTATACCCCTTTGTTCCTTCTTCGCTTCCTATTTCTTTATTTTTACAGTAGACTCTTTAACATTCCTTGCATTGCTGGTTTGGTGGATATAAATTTCTTTAGTCTTTTTTTTGTCTGTGAAGCTCCTGATTTCCCCTTCAATTTTGATTGATAGCCTTGCTGGGTACAGTATTCTTGGATTCAGACCCTTCCTTTGCATGACTTTTATATTTCATCCCATTCCCTTATGGCCTGATGAGTTTCTGTTGAGAAATCAGTTGCTAGACTGATGGGGTTTTCTTTATATGTAACTTTCTGTTTCTCTCTGGCTGCTTTTAAGATTCTTACTTTGTCGTTGGTGTTTGCCAATTTAATTATAATGTGCCTTGGCATTGGTCTTCTGGGATTCATTTTGCTTGGGACTCTGCAGGCATCTTGTGTGGGTTTTTTTTCCCCTCTATCTCAGGAAAGTTTTCTGTCATTTTTTAAAATACGTTTTCCATGTCTTCCTCAGTTTCCTTTCTTTCTGGAACCCCTATTCTAATATTGTTTTGTTTTGTATTGTTCCAAAGTTCCCTTAGGCTCTTCTCCTGCTTTTTAATTTTTTCCCCCCAGAAGCTGCTCTAATTGGGTATTTTTTTCCATCTTGTCTTCTAGCTCACTGATGCGGTCCTCTGCTAGTTTACTCTTTTAAAAAAAATAAATATTTTATTGATTTTTTACAGAGAGGTAGGGAGAGAGATAGAGAGCTAGAAACGTCAATGAGAGAAAAACATCGACCAGCTGCCTTTTGCACGCCCCCTACTGGGGATGTGCCTGCAACCAATGTACATGCCCCAGACTGGAATCGAACCTGGGACCTTTCAGTCCACAGACCGACGCTCTACCACTGAGCCAAACCGGTTTCGGCTGCTAGTTTACTCTTGATGCTTTCTATTTAGTTCTTCATGTTAGCGATGCCATTTTTCATTTCTTCTTGTTTCATCTTCAGTTCCTCTTGGTTCTTCTTCATTTCTTCTTGGTTATTGTCAAATTTGTCTTCCATTCTTTTTAGCCATCTTATGATCATTACTCTGAATTCGTGCTCTGGTAGGTTGCTTGCCTCTAACTCGTTTACTTCCTTTTCTGGTGATGCCTGCTTTTCTTTCATGTGCGGACTATTTCTTTGTCTGCCCATGGTCTCTCTTTTCAGGATGTCTGGTTATGTGGTTTTCTTTCTCCTGTGTTGATTTAAAGGCACAAAACACAACACTACCAGGTACAACACCAAAAGCACTGAACAGGAATGTATTTATGATGTTAATTACCTCTAATAAAGGTGACCACTAGAGAAAGGCAAATTAGGGGGTAGGGGAAAAATAAGAAAGGTAAAAAAAAAGGAGAGATAAATAATGTGCTAGAAAGAAAAAAAGTATTGACAAAATGACATTGGGAAAGAGGATAAAGAGAGAGAGAGAGAGAGAGAGAGAGAGAGAGAGAGAGAGAGAGAGAGAGAAAGAGACTAGAAGCAGACTAAGAGAGAAAGGGGAAACAAACTATATATATACATATATATATACATATACATATATATATATATATATATATATATATATATATATATATATATGGAGAAAATTCCCATGGAACAACCACTAATTCACGCAAATGCCAGAAACAATTCTTGGAGATTAATACAAACTACAATATCCACTATTATTCAGCAAGGCTACGATAAACAGAAGTAAAAAATAAACAAAAACAAAGCAATTAAAAAATACTAAGCAACAATAACAACAAAAGAATAAGCATATCAATTTCACTAAAAAGCATATAAATTCAATATAATCAACATTCACACAAAGAATCAATAACAAAAGGATAGAGAGGAAAACAGTTTTTTTTTCTTTCTTTTTTTTAACTAGTTAATATAGTGAAGAGAGTCGTATTTATGCACTTGGAGCAGGGGGTTGAAAATTAGGTCTATAAGTATGGTGAGAATTTTAGCAGGGGGTATACAGAAAGAATAGGGAAAAATTAAAGCTGGAAAGGGATAAGATAAACAGGAGATAAAAAGGGTAAAGGTTAGTAAGAGAATGATGGGATAAAGGTCGAGTTGAGATAGGGTTGAATAATGCTATAATAAAATTAAAATAGAATGAAGACAATCCAAATGAAAAATAAAAAGAAATTAAAATGGTTCTAAAACAAAAGGGAAACAAAAAATGCAAAATAGCAGTAGTAATAATGATGATTGAAATTGAAAAATGTAATAATTGCAAAGGTAAAATCAACTGAGGAAAAAAGAAAAAAATTCGTTTCTTAAGTAAAAGATGTAAAAAATGAAAATAAACTAAAAGATGTAAAAGATGAAAATAAAATAAAACATAGAAAAATTAGCATAAAAATGTGCAGTAGTGGTCATTCACTTCCTCTGTTATTCTATTTGGCATACCTATTTCTGTGTCCAGACAGTATTGCAGTTCCCTGTGTTTCACTGCCCCTCAGTTTTGTAAGCTAGACCTTAATTTTAAGTAGGCTATTTCTTAGTTATTTGTGTTCATTTACTTTTGATTAATTAAAAGTAATAAAAAAAATAAATTAATTAAAATAACTTAAAAAAATTAAAAAAAGAAAGAAAGAAAAGTAAAAAAGGGAAAAGAATCAGTTTGTAATTCAGCCCCTAGGTGGCAGTGTTTCTGGTTTGAGTTCCCAGTCTTTTTGGCTGCTCTAGCCTTCTTTCTCCATGGCTCTATGTTTAGTCGAGGAAAGCTACCTGGGTGCCAGTTCCCAGATTGATTCGGTTCCCAAATTGTTTCTTCTCTCTCTGATCCCCTGTTTCCAGGAAGGCAATTTCCTCCTGCAGTCTCCCAGGATATGCCAAACTGGGCAGTCCTTCCCTAGTACTCAGAAGCAAGGGGGTGAAGAGGATCAGGTGCAGGATGGGTATGTGCCAAGGTGTCCAGATGTTCTGCTTTTGGTGGGACTGTCCCGATTCTTAAACAATTTGTCCTGCATCCCTTGGTGTTTTTAAAAAAGACCCGATTTTGGGGAAGATCACGCCAAACCCAGTGCGTGATTCCCTCTGCAGCTGCTATCTCTTTGGGTGTAGCTCTGGGCACGGGGTTGCCCAGGGGCTAGGGCTGCTCATGGCGCGGGGCTGCTGGGGCGTGGAGCCACTGGGGTGATCCACGGGTACAGTCGCTGCCTGCGCCGCGACCCAGAACCCTCATGTTTTCCCCGCAAACTCTGACCTTTCCATGGGTGATTGAAGAACTCCCTTGAATCCACGTGTTTGCGTTGATTGGGGCGTCACAGCTGCTCGATGGTCCCCTCTGTTGTGGGTTCTCCAGGCCTCAGAGAAGGTCCTCTTTTCTTGGTAAGATGGCACAGCCTTCCTTCTGAGCCCATAGCTCTGGGAGAGGTCTCCGCTGGCTGCTTGGTCAGGTAATCCTGTCCAGAGGATCCTTACCTTCTTTTAGAGTTCCGCCACCCCTTAGCTTGCCAATCTATACTCCCTGAGCGACTCTTAGAAGCTGATTCTATCTGTTCTGGGACCAGGCTCAGAACAAGTCCGTCTGATCAGTCGCCATCTTGTCTCCTTCCTGGTCTTGAAATAAGTTTTATTTTCTTAATTCATTTGTCCTTGGGTGTAGACAGTAAATGACATCAATTGGAGTTTCTGCTATCAGTCTTTTTGAGTATATTGACATAAGCTTTGTTTAAGGAGGCAAAATGAAAATTATTTACTCTTAAGTGTCCTTTGTTTAAGGAAGATAGGATTTACTAGATGGCTTCAAACCATTTGGCATTTTTTTTAGATGGCTACAAACTGCTGTTACTTACTGTATTTGCCATCTCATTGCTCGAGTGAGGCAAGCCACGAAATTAGAAAATGATTCTGTAGGTCCTTGCATATACTTAATAAAAACTTCCTTAGGATTCCCTAAGTATATTGAATACATTTTCATTTCTTCCATAGAGATTTTTAGATAATGTTTTAATCTTAATTAATGTTCTCTAATAACTTTTGAAAGTCATTTAAGGTTTTAAGGCAATCCTTTTGTATTTCTACATTTTAAGGCCTAATACATTGGTTTTTAATTACATTTCCTAGATATTTGAAGGACATTTCTTTCTGTACCTTATTCAGAGCAATCTTTAAGCCCCATTTAGGGATTTTATTTTCTAATTGGGTAAACATTTCTAAAGTTTGTTTTTACTGTGGGCATGCCATAAATTACTACAGTAAAGACTTTTGCTTTTTTTTAAAGCAGAACAACCAACTTGGTTGCCTTTCAGAAAAACAGGTAGGAGAGAAACATGCTGACAATACTCTAATTGCATACATATCAAGTAAATGTAACTTTCTTTTTACTTATGATGTCTCATTAATAGTGAAATTTTATGTTTGAATAATAACCTTTAGTTTAATTTATAAATAATAGTGGAAGATATTTTTAAATTTCTCCTTATTAAGCTTAATTTTACTTTTAAACAGTATTCCTTTGGCTAGTGCTCATTTGCATATGTATGATATTTTATTTTAGACTTTAGAACCAACTGCTCATAAAATATTGACTTCTCATATAAATGAGTTTATATGAGACCTTAATTATATCATGAAAAGCTTACTTATTAGGTAATTAAAGTATGCACCTTTATTGAAAAGGTAAAGTAAGCAGACATACATTTGATCCATGAAGTACAGAAGCCACCCCACCCCACAGCCAATCTGAAGATCAGGCTGGGTTTGAAGCATTATGTATGCTCCTGTCTTAAAATTCTGCTGCTGAATATTCTGGTGTAGCTTAAGAAGTATCCAGCAATCTTGTCCTGCCAGGATTGGACACTGAAACCTCATACTTTCTTGCTCAGAGTAAAATGGTCCTTTTACAATTCTTATAAATAGTTAATTTTACTTATTCATTTTATAATATATTTTTATTGATTTCAGAAAGGAAGGGAGAGAGATAGAAACATCAATGATGAGAGAGAATCATTGATTGGCTGCCTCTTGCATGACTGGTACTGGGAGAGGGGATCAAGCCTGCAACCCCCGCATGTGCCCTTGGCCAGAATCAAATCTGGGACCTTTTAGTCCATAGACTGATGCTGTATCCACTGAGCCAAACCAGCTAGGCTAAATAGTTCATTTGTAGCACTTCTTTCTTTCTTTCATTCAACATTTCTCTTTTCCTTCTTATCACATAGGCAACTTTCACAAATTTCACACTTTTAGATCAGCTTCAAACCTTCTTTCTATGTCCTTCAAAAATGCATAACCATGCCTTAGACCTTCTATTAAGTATTTCCATTCTAATATTCTTTCTTTCTGTCATCAAGTTGTATGTACCTTCAGCAACTTGCACAGACCTTTGATGTGCATGCCTTCTATTATTAAAAGCATACAGTATTTAAACCTTAATTTTCTAATGATAATTAAAGGTAAGCATCCAGCATTTCTTAGATTGACATTTATGAAAATTCTCAACTTTAAGAAATATATTTTTAGATTTTCTGTAATAAAAGGTGAAATTAAAACTTGTTGGAATATTTAGATGTTCATTATTTAATCCAGAAATATTCCAAAGCTTTTGAGTTGTCAAAACTTTGGAATATTATGTATAGGCATATATAATTACCACTGAAAAAGATTTATCAAATACTCTTCATTTTAGTTATATATATTTTGCCGTAATAACTTTGAGATGTTAAAGTCAATTATTATTACCCAAGGCATTTTCCTTGGTAAATTATGTAACAGAAATAATTTACTAACTTTCAGTGACTTTAATGTTGAAGTATTATTTCATTTTATTTTTCTTTGTAAAAACAAAACTGCCCTCAGGACCTGGGAGGCAACCTTGGAATGTGGTCTATTATTATTCAAGAACTTCCTTTTATCATGGAAACATTAATTTTGTTGCCCATACACAGCCTGTGTATTTTTCTTGTGTCATTTTCAACATCTTCCAAAGAAAAACAGTCTGGGGCCTATTCTATAGTATCTGTGAAGAGATGGGGTTTAGGCCAAGAGGTCACCCAAAATTGGGTGGGGTGCCTCCCCCTTGAACTAGCCTTTTTCTTTTCAAGGGTATAGAAGTCCCATAGAGGTCTCCAAACTGTGAGAAATGGATTATCTATTCAAATTCCAAGTAACTGAGAAACAAAAACATGGTGAAAATTAGACTTTTCATAACACTCCCGAGAGTGGGCATCCATTTTAAAGGATTACCATGAGACTTAGTAATTAATGAGCTGGGGCCTTTTTTAGTTACTTACCTTTGTCTAGGAAATTTTCCTAGGACCTGTGTTATTGGCCACGTGTACTGATCATATTCTTTCTCCCCCACCCCCACATTCTGTTTGCTCTGTGTAAATTTAATTTTGGACTTTAGTAGAACCAGTAATCTACTGATTAAAAATGTCCCCATACACTTATGGTCATGACTCCAAAGATGGCATGGGCTTTGTGTGCGGTGAACTTCCCACCTTTCCAGTGAATTTCCACTTTTCCTTTTTCACTTCATTTTCCACTCAAGCGAATCTTCTCCAATTCCTATTTAGGTGCCAGAATGCTATGACCATCACAGATGGGTTCAGGATCTGAAGGAGGGGCCAATGCACAAATGAAAACACTGGACAATATCAATTATTAAGAGGTAGGGGCCAGGTGGTATCTCTTTCCTAAAGAGCACACTGACCTCTGCCGGTTCACATGCATTTTATTCACTTGAATACACTTGAATACACATTTTCCCTTTAGCAATTCATACAGGCATATCAAAGGTAAAGTTTGGTAAAAGTGAAAGGATTATCAGGTTAGGGAATTTGCCTTGAGCCACCTCTATCTCAACAGATGAGGTGGATAGTGACAGCCTTGCTAAGGCCCAAGATCCACCAACCTTCCACATTCTTTGGTGAACTCTTATGATAGTATTGGCAGTGGGTGGCTTCTGCAGCCACTGTTCTCAAAACTGCCTGGTATTGGCACAAAAACAGACATATAGACCAATGGAATAGAATAGAGGACCCAGATATCAACCCAAACCACTATGCTCAATTAATATTTGACAAAGGAGGCAAGAGTAAACCATGGAGTCAAGAAAGTCTCTTCAATAAATGGTGTTGGGAAAATTGGACAGACACATGCAAATAAGTGAAACTAAACCATCAACTTACACCATACACAAAAATAAACTCAAAATGGATAAAGGACTTAAACATAAGAAGAGAAACCATAAAAATATTAGAGGAATTCACAGGCAGCAAAATCTCAAACATGTGCTGAAGCAATATCTTCACCAACACAGCTCTCAGGGCAATGGAAATTAAAGATAAAATAAACAAATGGAACTACATCAAATTAAAAAACTTCTGCAGCCAAGGCCGGTTTGGCTCAGTGGTAGAGCGTCAGTCTGCGGACTGAGGGGTCCCGGGTTCGATTCCGGTCAAGGGCATGTACCTTGGTTGCGGGCACATCCCCGGTGGGGGGTGTGCAAGAGGCAGCTGGTCGATGTTTCTCTCTCATCGACGTTTCTAGCTCTCTATCTCTCTCCCTTTCTCTCTGTTAAAAATCAATAAAATATATTAAAAAAAATAAAATAAAAAACTTCTGCACAGCAAAAGAAACCATCAACAAAACAATAAGAAAGCCCACTGCATGGGAGCATATACTTGCCAATATTATCTCTGATAAGGGTTTAATCTTCAACATTTATAGGGAACTCATGCAACTTAACAAAAGAAAGATAAACAACAATCAAAGAGTGGGCAATGGACCTAAATAGATACTTTTTGAAAGAGGACATAAGGAAGGCCAAGAGACTTTGAAAACATGCTCAAAGTCACTAATTATCAGAGAGATCCAAATCAAAACAATAATGAGATACCATCTCACACCTGACAGAATGGCTATCATACGCAAATCAACAAATGACTAGTGCTGGTGGGATGCAGAGAAAAAGGAACCCTCATGCAGACTGGTGCAGCCACTGTGAAGAACAGTATGGACTTTCCTCAAAAAACTAAAAATGGAACTCCCATTTGACTCAGTAATCCCACTTCTAGGAATATATTCCAAGAAATAGAAACACTGATAAGAAAGGACATATACACCCCTATGTTCATAGTAGTATAATTTACAATTCCTAAGATTTGTAAACAGCCTAAGTGCCCATCAGCAGATGAGTAGATTAAAAAATTGTGTTATACCTACACAATGAAATACTACACAGCTGTAAAAAGGAAGGATCTCCTACTATTTGCAACAGCATGGATGGAGTTGGAGAGCATTATGCTAAGCGAAATAAGTCAGTCATAAAAATCTAAATATCACATGTCTCACTCATTTGTGGATTGTAATGAACAACATAAGAATAAAACAGATCCAGAGACAGAAAAGCATCGATCAGATACTGAAACCTCCAGAGGGAAGTTAGGGGAGGGTGGCGGTTGGGGAGAGATCAACCAAAGGACTTGTATGCATGCATGTAAGCATAACCAATAGACACAGACACCAAGGAGTTGAGAGCATAAATGGGGGAGGGAGGAGAGGGGAGGCAAAGGGAGGACAAGAGCACATATGCAATACCTTAATCAATAAAGAAAGTGATATTAAAAACAACAACAGGAAAACCTTTTAATAGGTTATCTAAACCAAAACGCTAAAGAATTAGAGAGCAACAACAACAACAAAACCCCAGAGTAAATAGAAGGAAGCACATAATAAAGATCTGATTGGAAATAAATGACATAGAAACAACAACAAAAAAAACAAAAAGAAAAAAAGAAAACAATACAAAAATCAATAAAAGAGCTTGTGCTTTGAATGGATAAACAAGACCAAGAAATATAGAGAAAGAACCCAAATAAACAAAATCAGAAACAAAAGTGATGAAATAACAACTGACTGCACAGCGATACAAAGGATTATGAAAAAAACTATGAACAACTCTATACTAATAAACTGGAAACCTTTATCAAATGGACATATTCTTAGAAAAAATATAATCTTCCAAAAAATTAATCACCAAGAATTAGAAAACCTTAATAGACCAATATCTACTGATGAAATTGAAACAATAATAAAACAAGCAAACAAATGAGCAAACAAACAAAAACACCCAGCAAAAAAAGCCATGGTTTGAATGTCTTTCCAGGAGAGTTTTACCAAATATTCAAAGAAGAGCTAATACCTACCTTTTCACATTATTCCAAAAAAAGTTCAAGAGGAAGGAAAACTCCCAAGCTATTTCTATGAAACCAGCATTACCCTAAACCCCAAACCAAATAAAGACACTATAAAGAAAGAGAATTGCAGGCCAGTATCCCTGTGACCATAGATGCTAAAATCCTCAACAAATTTCTAGCAAACTGAATGTAGCAATATATTGAAAAGATCATACACTTTGACCAATTGGGATTTATTCCAGGGATAAAAGGGTAGAACAAAACCCCCGTATCAATAAATGTGATACATCACATAAACAAAGCGAAAA